ATTGCCATCTGAAGTGCTGTGTGTGAAGCAGCATAACCCTCCTGAACAACGGATTTCAAAATGGGTTGTTTGTCATCTGGTAAACGCTGCATTAATTCAGTTAGTTTGGCATAATTGTCGAAATTATGATTTGTGAGTAAGGCAGTGTAATTAGCGATTTGGAGTTGCAAAACAGAGGAAGAATATACCGTCCTACCAACCAGATCTAGTCTCTTATCATGGGCAGACATCTTGTATTGGTTTTTTTTGGGTCTCTAAGTTGCTGCATCTACGACTAAAGAGTTTGGTTGCAGATCCAGGAAAAAGAAATCCATGCCTTTTGAAGACTCGATATTCTTCTAATCAGCTCATTTGTTAGTAGGCAAGGCTGATGCCAGTGTCTGCCATACTTCACCTTCAGCTTCTATATAGCTTCATCAACTGGAAGCACAATCTTTGATTTGGCTGCTGGGTGTACGTTCTTTAAGAACCTATGTTGTTTTTCCTTAACCTCAGACACAGTAACCTCCTGGCTGTTAGTGACCTTTTTTAAAAAGCTTGTGAAATTGTTTCTGGTCATTGGTTGGAAATGTGTTGTCTGGAATGACCACCTCTTCAGGAGAGGGCAATGACTTGTCTGTTGGTGAGGCATCTTGTGGTTCATGGTCCGGCTCGTCAGTGACCTGTCCCTTTTCGATAACTGGGTCCTCCATTGGTAGAGGAGGGCTATGGGGGGGGGAAGGGGGAGTGATGATGGCCTGTGGACAGGAGTGGGTGGTGCTGTGGAATGATGTTGCAATGGAACGCAATGGAACACAATGGCGGCATGGTGACCACCATGCTGTGTGGTGAGAGTGATAGGACCATTCAGAGTAGCAGGCGGGGCGGTGATGGTATTGCGGAGAGTGTTTGTCATAAGGCGTATATAATTTGGTTGGAGAGGAATGCTGAGAGGAGAAAACACCACTGTGGTCAGCCTCATATTCTGAGAAGTGAGAGAGAACCGGTAATCTCGGCAAATGGGGGGAGTATCTACAGGCAGTCCCCGAGTTACGCGGATCCGACTTATGTCGGATCCGCAGTTATGAACGGGGCCCTCCCTCTCCCTGGTCTCCAGCAGACCAGGGAGAGGAAGCAAAGCGGCGGAACACGCGGGCAGCAGACAGCCCAGACGCGTCTGGGCTGTCTGCTGCCCGCGTGTTCCGCCGCTTTGCTTCCTCTCCCTGGTCTGCTGGAGACCAGGGAGAGGGAGGGCCCCGTTCATAACTGCGGATCCGACATAAGTCGGATCCGCGTAACTCGGGGACTGCCTGTAGATACTCCCCCCATTTGCCGAGATTACCGGTTCTCTCTCACTTATACAAGATTCATCACACGATGGTTGAGATCTCAGTGCCACCATCGGTACTGGTGTGTTGGTGCTATGTTTGTGATACGAGCAGTGCCAAGAATTAGAAGACTTTCACAGTGTGGGTGACATAGCTGCTGATGGAGGAGGCATTAGTACCGGGGGTGGGGGTAGGGAGGGCACCAGTTCCAGGCGTGGTGACCATGGTAATGGCCTCATGAATTTAGCCTTAGCTTTTGGGTCTGACTCGGCACCTGCGGTGTTGGCACCATGATGTTATCTAGTTCCGAGTCCACCCGCAGCTTCAGTGCCGTTGATGGCCGTTGATGCCAGTGCCATTGACTGCAGGGTTCTTGCTTTAGGTTCTGCAACTGATGCGGCAGGGGGCAGCTGGTGCTGGATGTACCCAGCTTGTCTCCAGTGCTGAATCTTGGAGCCAGGGAACAGGCTCGAGAGACCTTCTTCTTTGGTTGTGATTCAGAGGAAGAAGAACTTGCGCATTCCTTCTGTTTAGTAGAGGTCTCTTGATGAGTATTCCCTTTTTCAGTTGCTTGGGACTCAAGGGCTTTATTGAAGAGGAACATTCTTAATCTGAGCTCCCTATCTTTTCGTGCCCTGGCTGTGAGGCTGCAACATTGCACGCATTTTTGAGGGAAGTGCACCTCACCTAAGCACTGAATACAGGATTCGTGGCCGTCCAAAACAGACACTGGGTCACAACACGTGTCGCATTTCTTAAATCCGGATGAACCAGGAATTGTTTTGGTTCTTCCTTGGTTTTTTGTTTTGTTTTGTTTTGAATTTGGCACTACCTTAGTCTCTTGGTGAGGGGGCCATTTGAGGCCCAGTCTTGCTGCAGCATTTCTCAACAGGTTGAGGGGAAACTATTTACATGAAGAAACAAGTCTTTTTTGTTTAAATGATTAAACCTAGAAATTCCAACAGAAAGATTTATAAGTGATTAACTCACTAATTAAATCTGTTTTTGCTCGCAGAAAGGGAAATGGAGGAGTTTTAAGCTCTATCTGTGACTGAGGGTGGTACAAAGGAACTGAGGGGAGTCAAGCCACGCACAGGATCTCCAAAGATGCAAATGACATGCATCCTTGCGGTGCATGTGCAGCTCAACAAGGCATTGCTGGAAAAATCTCTGATCTGCGGTACCGGGATGAGCCCATCACCAACAGTGGAGCACCCACCAGGACATAAGTCGAAGAAGAAGGTTCAGAGGCTGGAAACATACTGAACCATTAAGTGTGGCAATAGTGTACATTAATTCCAAAATAACGGAAGAAAAATAAGACCTGATTTTTAAGCCAACCATTCTTTTATGTGCAAACCTGCCATCTACAACAGTGGTCTCAAGCTGGGCTCCATGGACATGAGGATACTCCAGAGGTCTGTAAGTAATGTATGGGGCCACTGGCCCCACTGATCAATTCCTCCCCTTCCCTCTCTCCCAGTAAATTCTGCATGCTGAGTAATGACTGTTTAGCAGCCTGCAAACGGCACTGAGAGGGAAGGGAGAGAAAAGAGGCGGGAGGAGGAGTGGCAGGAGTAGAATAGGAGTGAGAAGAGTGGGGGTGTGGCCTAGAGGAAGGAGTTGGAGTGGGGTTGGGGTCTTGGGCTGAGCAGGGGTTGAGCACACCCTAAAAAATCAGAAGCTATGTTGGAGGTCTGCAAAAAAATGTTATATCAAAATACAGGTTCTTGGGTTGCTAAAGTTTGAGAACCACTAATCTACAAGGAATTGCCCCCAGAATGAATCACCACAAAACTACAGTGAATGAAATGAAACCACGAAACTGTGAATGACATTCTACTGTATGCACAAAGCTTCCTAAAAATTGGAAATCCAGCCTAAAAATCAAGCCACAAACATAGTATTCTTAGAAATGTAAATTGTACATTTGAGGCAGAAGTTACCCAATATCTACTATCACTGCGAACATTTTTAACCACAATACAACAGAAGAACCTTGAAAAGCATTAAACTAGTTACTATATATCATTACACACACGCTCTTGCATGACACTGTAATCTAATTAGCGGTGTAGCTTGCATCTATATAACTGAATTATCATGAGTGCTCTTTTTTATGATTAGTTTGCACTTCTAGAAAGGTACAACATTATCTACAGGATTCTTTTCATTTACACTCATTGATACAAAACGTAATTATGTTCCTCTAGCTCACTGTACTTAGGAAATTGGAAACTGTCTTCTCAAAATTAAAAATATATTAAAGAAATTAATGATCAGCTTTCATCAGTGAACTTTTCAAACACAACCTATCTGATCATTAAACAAAGCCAATCTACCATCCTATGGTCACCACACAGACACTTCATTAATCAAAATATACACATTATCTGAAAGAGACAATGCCACCTGCAACCTTCCAATGCTCCAGTCATATATTCTAATTAGGGATGTAATAGTGTAGTTGGTTAAACAATTTACCCACTTGGGTTGTTTTTCCTTAACCTCAAACAGAGTGACCTCCTGGCTGTTAGTGACCTTTTTTAAAAACGTTGTGAAATTGTTTCTAGTCATCGGTTGGGAATGTGTTGTCTGGAATGACCACCTCATCAGGAGAGGGCGATGACTTGTCTGTTGGTGAGGCATCTTGTGGTTCATGGTCCGGCTTGTCAGTGACCTGTCCCTCTTAGATAACTGGGCTATATAGACTAAACACAATCCCCCAACACCAGTAAAAATGTTAGCAGGCTGGCCAGCAGCCTGGCTCAGTCCTGGCTTGCGACAGGTCCAGGACCTTCTCCCGCTGTGGCTCTGAATTTAAAGTGTATTAGGAGCTGGGCAGGCATGCAGTCCGGCTCAGTTCTGGTTTGCATCGGGTCCGGAAGCTCAGACAGGGGGCGACAGGCAGCTGGTCCACGAGTGGAGCTGGTTTTTAAACTGGCTCCCCTTGCGGACCAGCTGTTGCCTCTGATATAGAGGTAGCAGCGTGGAGTGGCAGGAGCTCGAGAGCGAGGCTAGAGCGCACTGGCTGCCACCCCCGCCCCCAGGTACTATGACTAGTCAAGTAACCGATAAGAATTAATGAGGTTACTTGACTATTCAATTAACAGATATTTAACATCCTTAATTCTAATAGCTGCTCCTTCTAATCCTGAAACTGGATCTGTCAGGGAAACCGCCTACACTCCTAGAGAGTCCCACTGACTTCACCTAGATACCACAGGGATGAAAGTTTAATATCCCAATGTTGCAAAGACTTGCATACATACTTAAACTTTATTCATGTGAGCAGCCCCACAGAAGCCAGGAGAATTACTCAAGTGTGTAAAAGTGAATAAATAAGTCTCTTCAGGATCAAGGCTTAGATGTAAGCCTAATAATTACATTAGTCAAGACAGACTAGGGTTCTGAATTCCTTACATAGATCCTTTCAGGGGCTCCCAGACTTATTTGGGTCCTGGATAGCATGGCAGATGGGGAAGCAAGTTTATTTTGTAGGGTTAAGCAGAAATTTTGATGCCTACAAAGCACCTGCAGAGTGGTTTCTATGGGCCAGAGAAAAAGAATGTAAGGCCTTGGCAGCAGCACTTTCCTGACTCCAATATAGCCTAAAATAGACTTCAACATTGACCCCAAGCTACAGTTCTATAAGATTCTCTGGCATTGTATGCAACTGAAATATTAACTTACATCTGAGGAAGAGGATTCAAGAATGATGCCAAATCCTGAAACAGGGGTCTCCGGCTTTATAGTATGTTCAGCTGCTTGCAGGCTGGCTCTTTCAGAGTTTACTGACAACTTCTTTTCATTCTCTACAGTATTGGGTTTCTTATTCACTGTAATAGGCTCAAGAGTCTTTTGGGGCATTTTTTTCTTTTTATTTCTCTTCCTTGGTATTGTTGATTTCTGTGCACAGATCAGAGGAATCAGAGGCTGCTGTCTGTTTTGAGTGCCAACTGAAGGGGAAAAAAAGCTGTGAATATATTTACAGAAACATGTACACAACTGCAGTTTAAACTAAGTTATTGCATTTACCTATATTCATTCTCTGGCTAAGCAGCACTATTTACAAGACAGTTTGTGCAAATGAAACATTTTCTCGGGTTTGCATAATTAATACTTACTATTAAAAAAAGAGTCGGACAATTATTATAGTTGTGTTAAATTGTATGTCCTGTCACATTATCAAGGATCCTATGATTTTTAGCATCTTTTATTGATGGAAATAAGAAAACTTCATGTGCATTTGCAATCATGCTCTTTTCTGAAGAAAACTGGCTCAAAGAGTACGTTGAAAGAACTATTTTAATCAAGAATCAGTAAAAAATATTTAACAATTTAATTTTTATATTCTGGAAAACAATTACTAGAACTTTATACAGTTGGCTCTGTTTGAAACCCAATGACTCTTATTTCTTGCATATATCAATATTTTACATTTATACAGCATTTTTCAGGAACACGTGAATACTTTATAAATTAAGACTCCTGCAAACAGATCTGCAAGGACTGACTCTGCAGATGCAAAGGAACATCCACATGGATCAAATTGCAGAATCAGGACTAAAATAATCAGTATCAAGCAGCTTAGGGCTTGTCTACACTTGAAACACTATAGCAGCACTTCAGCTGCACTTCAGTGTATACACCAATGGGAGACAGTCTCCCATCTCATAGGCTTTCATGCCCAAAGGCAGGAGTAGGGAACCTTTTTTTGGGTTGAAAAAAAGTGACTCTCAGAAAGATCAATTGGGAGCCACACAAAGTGAAAAGCCTCCCACAAAAGCCCTCAATGACCTGGTCCCCAAGTGAGAAAAAAATACATTCTTCACAGATGTTACCCCTAACTGAGGAGTAGGAAGAAGAGACAGTCCCCTTACTCCCCAGACCAAAGGGAAGCACCAAGGTTCAGGACTTACCAGGGCTGGATTAGCTTTTCTGGGGATCTGGGGGTAGAAGATTGGATGGGGCCCCCACTAGGCCTTGGGGTGGGGCCAAAAGTGAGGGGTTCAGTGTGCAGAAGGAGGCTGCCAGGGAGCAGGCTGGAGGTAGGAGTTCAGGGTCTTCATGGGAGGAAAGGTGTGGGAGCAGATTGGGGTGGGGGTGGGGATGCGGGGTCTGGAAGGTAGGGAGGGTGGAGTGGGCTAGAGGTGCGGGGTCTGGATGGGAAAGGGCAGGGGACAGGAGCACCTACTTGGCAAAGCTCCAGGAGTGGGGTGGGGGGCACAAGTGGCTCCATGTGGGTCTGCACACTGAAGGAAAGCACTCCCTGCAGGTACCACCCACCAGTGCTTCCACTGGCCAAGATTCCCAGCCAACGGGAGCGATAGAGGGCAATGCACGCAGAGAGTAGTTCCCTGCAGCGTGCAGAGCCACTTCCTCCCCTTGCCAGGCAGAGCCTGCAGGGTTTGCTTTGATCAGGCTTGCAAGACTCTGGCCCCACCCCGCAGTGCCATTGACAGTGCCTCCCCCCGCATGGCTGGCTGGTTTATGCCTATGCCGGGGTTAGGTGGGGGTCCTAAGCCTTGCAGGTTCAATCAAGGAAAGTTGCAGGCTGAAGGTTCCTCACTCCTGCCCTAAGGAACCACTGTGATAATCCTACATATCACAGGGCACTGAATCTCTCCCATCCTCTCATGAAATAGACCTATAATCTCTGGCTGGCTTTCTGAAGACTTCAAACAACAATTTAAAGACATCAAGTTACAGAGAATCTATTAATTACTCTAGCTCAAATCAACAAGTTGACCCATGTCATATACTGCAGAGAAAGCAACCCCATCCCCCACCAGAGTTTCTGCTAACCTGATCTGGGAGAAAAATCCTTCCTGACCCCAAATATGGCAATCAGTTTGACCCTGAGTATGTGGTCAAGATCTACCAGCCAGACAACCGAGAGAGAATTCCCTGCAGTAACTCAAAGCTCTTTCCAGCTAATGTCCCATCTTCAGCCACTGGAGACACTTACAGTTGGGACAGATGCCACTGTAAGCAATCTTAACATAATTTCTCATCTCCTCCATAGATGTATTAAGCTCAATCTGGAAAGTTTCAGTAAGGTTTCCCACCCCATCCCAGCCCCCACTGCTCCTTCGGAAGGCCAAGTACTTCACTTCTCTGATGCTTAGAAACCATAGTCTAATTTCAAGCCTAAACTGGTTGATTATCAGTTTATAACCACTTGTTTTGGGGTCTGCATTGGCCCTTACTGGGAACAACAATTCTCCCTCGCTGGTGTTTACTCCTCTGATGTCTTTATAGAAAATAATCATATCTCCTGTCAGTGTAGGTAATCCACCTCCCTAAGGGCTGGTAACTAGGTTGACAGAAAAATTCTTCCATGTATCTAGTATTATCTACACTGGGGGTTAGATTAGCTTAACTACCTCACTTAAGGGTGTGGATTTTTGACTCTCCAGAGTGACATAGCTGGGTCAATGTAACTATTTAATGTAGAACAGACCTTATTTTTTGTCCACGTGCAACTGAAAGCCCCATTCAAAATGCTATAGCTTCTAGCTAACAGCAAACTGCCATCCTTTGCAAAGGTTTCTTAATAGGAACCCCATTGTAAAGTGACAGTTAATTAATGGATTTTTGAGAGGTTTCTGGCAAGAATTATGAGTGCTGCAATTTGTACTTTAATTTAAATAGTAACGTTCTTAACTACCAAAATAAATCATCATGTTTTCGTGTCCATGTTTGTATTTTAGGTGCTAATTCATATATATATAAATAAAACAAGAATGCCAAACAAGCTATTCTGTTGCAAGTACTCTTTATTACATATCACAAACTAAAAACGATTCCCCACACCTTTTCATCAAGAGGTCTATTATGCACAAATTTACTTACATTACAGTTACACAGCATGGAAAGAGAAATACTCCTATTATCCTGGATTTAAGCTTTTATTCCTGAAGGTCTAGTCCCACATTTTTATCCCGATTAAGGATTTTAAATATTGAATAATTGACTATTTAATTAGTCGATAGGGTGCTTCCACCTTTGAAGTGTAGCAACAATCCTAGGACTGTTGCTACACTTCAAAGGTGAAAGTGCTACATGGAGTCCGGGGTCAGCTGGGGACTCTCCCGCTGACCCCAGGCTCCGTTTCCGCTTTGAAACACTGCGAGGAGCCTGGCACCAGGCTCCCCGCATCATTTCAAAGTGGCAGTGCTGCATGGAGCCCGGAGTTAGTGGGGGAGTCCCCAGCTGATCCCAGGCTCCATGTGGCACTGCTGCTTTGAAACACCCGCATGCAGCTGGAGACCCCTAGCTGGCTCTGGGTTGCATGCAGCGTTTCAAAGCGGCAGCACACGTGGAGCCCAGGGTCTGGCCTCAGGCTCCACGCGACGCTGCTCCTTTGAAGTACCACTTCCTCTCCCCCCCTTGCTGCCTCTTTCTGATAGAGGCAGCAAGGTGGGGAAGCAACTAGTCAACTAGCCTGTCGACTATCCGATAAGCATTCGGATCACATCCCTAATCCACATATCATCCTTACCCATGCAAATAATCAAACGGAAGTCCATGCAACTACTTTTAAAGGATTTCTCACCTGCATAAAAGTTAGAGGACCCTCACTCTTCTTTGAAACCCAAATATCTTTACTCAAGCTACTTGACATTACAGTAATTGTCTCATCTATCATTAGCTCATATTAACATTATTTCAGGTATCATACTATGCCTATGCATCGCTTTCATTGTCCTTTCAACTTCCATCATATTTCAATTAAAAGAATTTTCCCCCAGGTCTGTTGGCTGTCATAGTTCAGATGACTGCACCTATGTATCCCTGTCATAGTTCATCAAAGGTGCTCACTTTCAAACTTATGACTTCCCAGTTGTCAACTCTTGTAGGCGAAGACCTGCATTTCTCCCTATCCTGACAGGGGTATTTCCATGCTGAAGTTTCCTGTCTACATTGTGAATTATCGAGCATGACTGATAGCTTAAGTAGGCCTCTTTTGCCTATTTTTCAGAGACTATGAACAGCATAACTTCTCCAAGGTGGTGATCCTCTGTTTAAATAACCACTCTCTATCATGCAGTGTGAGGATGTGAACCAGGATCTGCCACACCCCAGGTGAATACCCCAACCAAAAGTTGGAAGGGAGCAACTGCTCCTCCTCCTTTCCCCCTTGTTCCCGGGCCATGTTATGTGGAATTACATGGCTGTCTAACATTCTCACAAGCAATAACTCTGGTTGCCAAAGAGGGGTTCCCATTAGTGGATTACAAGCAGAGACAGAAGCCTTCTTGCAGCTGAGATTATGCACGTATCACCATGAGAGAGGCATGGTTTAGGACACACCTCTCTGGTTGGCATCTCCCCAATTAGCACTTTGGCTTTTGTGAATTGCAGTCTAAGGTGCCTATATCTCCCCATTTGTTGTACAGAGAGTCTAGATCAGTGTTTCTTAAATTTTTAAGACCGAGAAACACGAAACAATAATTTATTTTTTATGAGGAACACCAAGGAGTTTTGGTTTTGAATTGTTGATCTCCACAGCACACTGGAGTGCCGCAGAACAGTTTAAGAAACACTGGTCTAGATGCCTAACTTGGGCTTTGTGGAGCACATTGCTGTTCTAGTGATTTTCTAGTTATCTAACAGTTAGGCACTGTGGCACTTAGCATACCAATAGCTACGTTTCTTTGTGGATCCAGGCCTTAGCAGTTTTCAAATATCTGAAAGGGTGTCACCAGGAGGAGGAAGAAAAATTGTTCTCCTTGGCCTCTGATGGTAGGACAAGAAACAATGGGCTTAAACTGCAGCAAGGGAGGTTTAGCTTAGACATTAGGAAAAACTTTAAGGTGGTTAAACAGTGGAATAAATTGTCTAGGGAGGTTGCTGAATCTCCATCACTGGAGATATTTAAGAGCAGGCTGGATAGACATCTAACTGGGATGATCTAGACAGTGCTTGATCCTGCCATGAGAGCAGGGGTCTAGACTTGATGATTTTTGAAGTCCCTTCCAGTTCTAGTGTTCTATGATTGTTAGGTTCCTAAGTCTCTTATCGAGCTAAGTCACCTAGGCGCTTATGAAAATTGGTCCTGAGGAGCAGGGAATTGAACCCAGGACCATTCTTTGTTGTGAAAGCAATCTAAAAACATCCTGATGAAAGGTATCACACACAGATTAAAGGTATATGAGAGTGAGAGATCACGGTACCTGCTTGAATCTGCATTAACTTCCTCATAGTCTTCAGCTCTTGGAGAATGGCCTGCAAAGTGGACTGGCAATTACAAGTACAACAGTTTGGTCCAACTGATGAATTGACCCCTGGAATTTCTCCTGGAGGAGGAATGAAATAAAACAATGATACAGTCAACAGAACTGGACAGGATTTTAAGCTAGCAATGGGTGCTATCGTGAAGTTGGACCCAAGGAAAGCACAGCCAATAATTACCATAACATTCATTTTTTTGGGAGAAAGGGGCCATTTATCCTGTTATGTAGTGGTAGAAATGTAGCCGTGTTAGTCTGGTGCAGCTGAAACAAAAAACAGGACTGTGTAGCACTTTAAAGACTAACAAGATGGTTTAATAGGTGATGAGCTTTCGTGGGCCAGACCCACTTCCTCAGATCAAATAGTGGATCTATTTGATCTGAGGAAGTGGGTCTGGCCCACGAAAGCTTATGCCACTCTATTTGATCTGAGGAAGTGGGTCTGGCCCACGAAAGCTCATCACCTATTAAACCATCTTGTTAGTCTTTAAAGTGCTACACATTCCTGTTTATCCTGTTATGCTTATATACTTGGGGAGGGACATGATGTTATTGGGGTTGGTGAGCACTGCACAAAAGTGTGAACACAATGCACTCTCACAGCAGGGCTCTCTATTGCCAGGCTTGTTCATCTCAGATAACAAGAGCTCCACATCTCATTATAAACATGCTCACTTTATCACGCACAAAAAAACCAAAAAACCATCTCCTAGAACAGCCCCACAAAGAATGGGTAGCCACCTGTGTAATAAAGGTGTATATTAAGCATTAAATAAGAGCCTAACAATTCTAAAATTGCTTGAATGCTATACATGTTGCTTTAGAACATGAATAATTGAAAATGAAAATCAGATCCTATGGTCACAGAAATTGCAGATGGGAAAAAACCATCAGCAAGAAAACCTACATAATCTGCTCCATCCTTCTGCCAATAGAGGTTTATTTCCTACAGTATGTTTTCTAATGCTGTGTCCCTGAAGACAGTGTTCCCACAAGTCTGCTGGGGAGATTATTCAACAATCCAATAGACTGGTTTGGGCCACAATTTCTTACTGATGTTTCAACTTAATTTTTCTGTTCTTAATTTCATTCATTTACTTCTAGTTCTAGCTCCTTGTAAAAACCTTAGCTCTGCCTCAGTCTCCAGACCATTTTCATCTTCACATACTTTCAGGTCTTGAAATGGATGGATGTATCTTTTGCTGAAGAATCTAAAGTTTTTGTTATAAAAATTAAGCTTCTAGCATTTAAAGCTGCAAATAAAACTTATAAAATACAAACAGAATGTCAACAGCTGCAAAGATATCAGTCCGAACTTGTAAACATAAAGAAACTGACCTCATTTCAATAATCATTAATACTGAAGACTAACGATGATTATTTAAAATGGTATTTTTCTGTTTAGCAAAGCACAAGAGGTATGATAATATTATGAAGATCTGAACAACCTAATACAAGTCATCTCATTTGTGTGTCACAGGAGTGTGATAGGGATGTTAAATTGTGTTTAATCAACTAGTCAATAAGTGGGGGAAACTGTGGCTCTGCTTTTTAAACGTATTAAGAAGTGGCTGGCTCTTAATGTATTTAAAAGGTTGAAGCACAGCGGGGAGGGAGGGGGAATGAGCTGTCCAGACTCGCTCTTGGTCCCCCCCCTCCCCCCACTCAACCACCACTTCTGCTTTTTAAGCTTTAGTGGGTAGCTGAGTTAAGGATAAACTTAAAAAAACAACAAATAGTCTGGTTGCACTTTATAGACTAACAAAACATGTAGATGGTGGTATGAGCAGGGCTCACTGAGCCGCGGCGAGCCCTGCTAGCCAGCCGTGCTGTCCGGCGTTCCGTGCATGCGCAGATCGTTCTGCGCATGCGCAGATCACCCAAACCTGGCTCTTCCAGGATGTAATCTACTCGCCACGGGCGAATAGATTACATAGATTGTTGAGCCCTGGGTATGAGCTTTCATGAGCACAGCCCACTTCTTCAGATGACCGGAGTTTTGAATTTAGAATGTGCAGACCCAAAATAAATAGGGGAGAAGGGAAAAATGGAAGGGGGTGGGAAACAAGAAGCAGGGGGTATGAAAATATCAAAGGGAAAACCAAATAGGCAGAACAGGTCATCTATAAGCACCTAAAGATTGGATAGTTAAAAGAAGCAGAGAAGGATCATAGGATAGCAATTAGAGAGGAAGGGTACTAACACAAGAATCCACACAGACAAAGAGCTGTTGGCACCTTCATTGAATATTAGGTTGATAATGTCCCAGCCATCCATTATCTCGATTGAGGAGGCCATCAGTGTGAGAACTGAATTTGTGGATGAATTGTAATTCTAATGCCTCTCTGTGTATTTGGCTTGTGACAAGACAGACACTAGGAGATGTTTTGAAGAGTGATTAGGTAGACTGAAGTGTTCCCCAACAGGTTTCTGTATGTTCCCTTTACATATATCTGATTTGTGTCCATTGACTGCTGGCTCTTAATACATTTAAGAAGCAGAGGTGTGGTGCCTAGGACTAGAGGCGAGTCAGGATTTAGCTTACGCCCGGTCCCCCACTACACCTCTGCCTCCACTGCCCACTGTAGAAACAGTGCTGGGGGAAAACCAGCTTTGAATGGTGCCTAGGACTAGAGGCGAGTCAGGATTTAGCTTACGCCCGGTCCCCCACTACACCTCTGCCTCCACTGCCCACTGTAGAAACAGTGCTGGGGGAAAACCAGCTTTGAAACAAGCTCCCCCAGCACCGGTTCTTGTCCCCCCCCCCTTTGCCGACTAGTCGACTTATGTTTATTGCATAATCAACTAGTCACTTACACTAGGAAATCCCTAGTGTGCGAACCTTGGGTGAGTACCACTGTTTATTTTTTCTCCAACCTGACTAGGGGTATGTCTACACTACCAGCCTAGTTCGAACGAGGGTGGTTAATGTAGGCAACCGGAGTTGCAAATGAAGCCCGGGATTTGAATTTCCCGGGCTTCATTTGCATATTGCAGGGCGCCGCCATTTTTAAATGTCCGCTAGTTCGGACTCCGTGCCCGCGGCTACACGCGGCACGAACTAGGTAGTTCGGATTAGGCTTCCTATTCCGAACTACCGTTACTCCTCGTGGAATGAGGGAGACGGGGAGCAAAGCCTTGGAGCACGCGGCGCGCCTGGACTGTCCCGCTGCCCGCGTGCTCTGCAGCTTTGCTCCGCGTCTCCCAGGTCAGCAGACCAGGGAGACGGAGCAAAGCCGTGGAGGACTTGGGCGGTCCCGCCACCCCCGTCTCCCTGGTCTGCTGGGGAGGGGTGCAGCTAGTGCCCCCCCCAGCAGACCAGGCTTTTCTTGCCTACCCCTGGGGTAGAGCAGCTGGGGGCTGCCGGGTTGGTCCCGCAGCGCCGCTCCGGACCAACCCGGCAGCACCGCAGCTGCTCTGCCCCCGGCGTCCCGATTCAGCCGCTGCCGGGCGGCTGTCCAGTCTACTGTGAGTGACCTCACACATTGGTACCACCAGTGGGAGGCTCTTGGGAGAATTATCACTATTTATTTTTCCTTCAGTCTGCTCTTCGGGGGTGTCACACAAAGTAGTGTGAGACTGGAAAATACAATTCTTCAGTAATCTTTGATTCCCAGTCTTTATTTTGATTTTTTTTATGGGAGATTGTTGTTTAGTTTTGCCAGTACAGGCAGTCCCCGGGTTACGTGCAAGACAGGGACTGTAGGTTTGTTCTTAAGTTGAATCTGTATGTAAGTCAGAACTGGAGTCAGCCGCTGCTGAAACTGATCAGTTTCAACCGCGGCTGAATCTGGACGCCAGATCTGACTTACATACAGATTCAACTTAAGAACAAACCTACAGTCCCTGTCTTGCACGTAACCCGGGGACTGCCTGTACTGGCAAAACTAAACAACAATCTCCCATAAAAAAAATCAAAATAAAGACTGGGAATCAAAGATTACTGAAGAATTGTATTTTCCAGTCTCACACTACTTTGTGTGACACCCCCGAAGAGCAGACTGAAGGAAAAATAAATAGTGATAATTCTCCCAAGAGCCTCCCACTGGTGGTACCAATGTGTGAGGTCACTCACAGTAGACTGGACAGCCTTTCACAATATGATCCTTCCTTTATTTATTTATATATTTTGATTGCCATCAGCAAAGTAATTAAGAATATTACCATTTAAATTTCTCCCCCAGGGAATCTACTATTAATATCATATTGAAATAATGGGAGCATTTCATGTCTGAGACCTATTGTTTCAGGCTTTCTGTTTATTTAGCAAACACAACTGCACCAGTTACACTTGAGTCATGTTTTATGTCTTTGTTTGCAATCATAAAGATAGCAATTAGGTTTTGGTTAAATGTAAAAAGCAATTTTGAAGACTAGGAAGAAAGTCCCAATTTAAATTAAAAAAAAAAGAAACAATCAAGAAGGGGATTACAGACTTAGCACAAGCCCACCAAGTTTGACCCCTTGCCTAGTCTACACTACACCATTTAGTCAATGTAAATTGCCTTGTGTCTTCCTTGTTGTAGAAGCATCCTCATTTAAACATAGCTCCCACTGATTTAAGTGCCTTTCTACACCAATTCAGTAACACCACTTCCTCAATGGCATAGTGTCAAATTCGATGTAATTAGGTCAATGCAGTGTTGGACTGCATTGCATGTGTCAACTGCTACTGGCTTTCAGGAACTGTCTTATAATGCCCCACATTGGCAAAACAATTGACACAAGAGCTCTTAGTCTGGATGCATACCAGTGACACAAGGAGCCAACTAATAACTGCAGTGACTGTATGCCAACATAAGTTAGGTTGACATAATTTTGTAGTATAGATTTAGCTGTAAGGTATTTTGAGGAGAGGAATGGGACTTCATCTTCCCAATTGCTCATAAAGTGCTTAGGCCACGGTTAGAGCTACAAAAACAACACATAAGGAAGATTTTTATTTTTAGTGTTATGGCAAATCACTCAGGGTACATCTACACTTAAATTGTTACAGTGCCACTGCCTCTGTATATCTTCCGGGCTTATTTACATTTGACATGTTACAGCTGCACATCTGAACTGATGCAGCTGAGTGTCAATGTAGACGCTACCTATGACAAAAGGAGGTATTCTCCCATCAACATAGGTAAACCACTTGCCTAAGAAGCACTAGCTAGGTCATCTTAACCTCACTCCCCTTGGTAGACCATGCTTATGTAGCTATGTCTCTCAAGCATGTGGATTTTTCACACTCCCTGAGAGACAGAGCTATGCCTATATAAGTTTCCAGTGTAAACCAGCCCTCTAAGTCCCTAAAGAAACATCCACCAAAACCTTTCACTGGTACTTTAACTTAGATATCAGTAATAAATTAGGTTCAAGGCAGCTTCCAAATGTGTAAGTGCTTGGTATAAAAATTCAGCAGCAACATCACAGCTACCTGCCACCTCCAGCAAGAAAACAGCTGTAATGGGTGTCCACAAAAAGTGAGTTATAATACCAGCAATTAAAACAACAAAAATAAAAGAAACCTCAGTCACCCTCCCTCTGGGCTTCTCCAAGGCATCCTGTCTACTCTAATTCTTTGAACAACAATCTCCTTGGACTGCCCCAGTCTTATTTTCTCGCTTGTACAGCATCCAGCATATTGCAGGAGCATAGCAAACAAATAACATTTGAAAGAGTAGATATTTCTGATTTATGTATTAGTCTTGAGAATGTAGAAACTTTGACTAAGCAAATACTGCCAGTAAATACCTGTTCCTCTTTCCTGTTACAAATATAATACATTCCTAATGAAGGCACAGAAGCCCCTGACTAAAAACCAAAGGGTCTCTTTTCCCATTGAGGCATGTGGGATTTACATTATAATTCCCATTAGTATTGATAGAAATTACCCATGTAAATCTCTGATATGTATTGTAAATGGGAAAAGAGATCACCAGTATTTCAAATCAAAGCAGATTTCTGCCAGCTTCATACATATTCATGAAGAGTTTTTATTTTCCTTCCATCATCTCTCTTCTAATCAGTTACAACAGTGGAGTAAGAAACATCTTGTAGAATGGTCCCAGTCATTGTTCCAAACACTAGCGTTTTCATTTTTAGAGAACAAAAGCAACTTTTTACACTTGCTATAAATCAATTTTTAATTTTAAAAAGAGAGCAGACTTTTTATTTTTATGGAGGAGTCTTTATAGAGCCATCTCCCACCATTCTGGAGGCAAGCCAGCATGTGAATTTGATACTGGCTTGTATGATGGAGGTGACACAAATACATCACCTGATGACTCTCTCTCTCTGCATAATCAGCAAGTATTTTGGGATGGTTCTCCCTAAAAATGGATCTGATGACAGTAAATCATGTTGGTGTAATAACATTACTACACTAACAAATTTATTCTTGAAAAGCACTTGAGTACAATTTATCAAAAACAATTTGTGTGTAACCAAAAAGCAATTAAGATGGTATATTGCTTCCAGATCCTCCAACGAAACAGAGAAATTTACAAAAAAAAATCTCAGAAAGTAATTTTGGCCCAGATTATATAAACACTTTACTTACATGCATGAGCATTTGCAGGACTGGTATGTTAAGCCAGATCTTTGCGGCCAGACAGACTTCCACTAAAAGCAATGGGGCACTAAATGAGCACAGGAATTCGCCCATCCTGGTCAGGATTAGCACCTTAAGGCCTGATCGAAGCAAAGCTCCCACTGGCTTCAGTGTTGCAGGATCTGGTTCTTGCTTTGTAATCATGACCTTGTTATTTCTTTGCTTTAGTTTCAATAATCATTGTACCCTTTCACCTTCTTCTTTCGCTCTTGTCTGTGCTGTCTTCTACACTTGGAACTCCCACCCTATCCCCTTGCACAGGGCACTCATCCTCCAAATCTCTCCTTAAAAACAAAATCCTGCAAGGCCCACAAACCCTAAGTTGCTATACCTCAAAAATGTACTGCCACACCAACACAAAGATATCCACAAAACCTCAGTTATTATAACACCATTCTTTAGATCTCCCAGTACGTGAGTCCAATAATTGTCTATACAGGGATATAGTCAATCCAAGAAAACTGATGCCTAAGCTTCTGAATGCAGGTCTAGTACAGCACAGGGAGGGAATAACAACAATAATAATTTCTGCATCTGCTACAATGGTGAATATATGTGTGTCCTTACATAAAGACACACAAGAGATACCATTTTATGGCAATTATTAATATCTGTGGGGACAACTGCAATTTAGTTGACACTGGTTTTGGATAGAAGCTCACAATTTTCAGAATTTTAAATTAAAAATTTGTAATTCAGGTTGAGTATCAGGGAAATTTCTCTGACAGAAAGATCTAGCAGATGATGGAAGAATCTTCCAAGGAAGTAAAGCAGGCCTGAGCAAAATAAGGCCTGCAGGCTGGATTCAGCCAATCAAGACACCAGATCCGTCCTGTGGACATAGCGGGGAGCCCCAGGCAGAATCCCTGCTTGCCTTGCCCTACCTGCACACCACTCAGAAATGTGGCTGTGGGGTGGTGTCACTTCAAAAACTGAGCCCGGAGGGGAGGGGGAAAAACTTTAGGACACAATCCCATTGAACAGCTTCTGGCCAGAAACTGGCCAACGGGAGCTGCCAGTTTCAATAACAAGCAGCCACAAAGCACAAGGAACTCATAGCTATTCACAGAGCAGCCTGTGCAGGGACAGGGCAGGCAGAGAGGCTAATTCAGGAATGGCTGGTAAGTATCCTGGCCAAAGCCTGCCTCCCCCAATCCCCTGCCCCGGACTCCTGCCCCCCACTCCACATGCCCAAATCCTCTGCCCCCCGCCTGCACCCATACCCCCTCCCAGATCCAACACTCCAATCCCCTGCCCCAGATCGCAGTCACGTCTTGCTCTAGTTCACAACCTAACCCCCTGCACTCCCTCCTGTACCCCAATTCCCTGCCCTAGTTCACAATCCAACCCCCTGCGCTTTAGTCCAGTGTCTTAGGTCACAACTGCCTCCTTCACCCAAACTCTCTCTAACCTCCATCCAAGACCATGTACCTCCTCCATTAATATCATGGAAGAGTGCGGCCCTTAACCACTGTCCAAATTCTTGGAGTGGCCCCCTGTCAAAAATTATTGCCCACATCTGGAGTAAAGAAAGCTCATTTGTGACATTTAAAGCTCTAGGAAAAAATATATTTAAAAACACTGGAACATCCACTTCAGAAACAATCCTATATTGGAAGTCTGATAGACAACATGCACCAGATTAAAGCACAATTTAACCCTAATGATCCCATAAGAACAAAAGCCTACATGTGCATGTGCTCTATGTTGAAAAAAAACTGATAGTTTAGATCATGGCTACAATGGAATTTCATGTCTGAAGGTAAAAAGTGATTTAAACCTGATTCTGCCACCTTTACTCACAATGAGTTGAATTTTGTTCCAGTCCTCTGATCTCCCTGTGCTAGACTTCATTGTAGGGACATTAAGTTGCATTTGATCAGCTAATCGAGTAGTCAATGGAATTTCCATCGACTACTTGATTAGTTGATAAGGAGGGAGCTAACCCCACTGCACCTCTAAATGTATTAAGAGCTTAGAGGTTCTTAATACATTTAAAAGGCAGAGCTGCAGCAGGGGGTACCAGGTGCGAGCTGGGAATCAACTGGCCTGGCTCGCACCTGCTCCCCACACTATGCCTCTGTCACCCCTGCCTGCCTGCGGAGTCAGTGCTGGGAGGAACCAGCTGTTAAGGCAGCTTCCCCCCCAGCACTGGCTCCTGCTCCCCCGGTGCTTTGCTGCTTCTCTTTGATGGCATATACTTATTGGGTAATCGACTAGTCGCTTACATCCTTACTTCATTGTGTTACTCAACGGGAATATGAGTGACAAAATCTGCCTTGTAAAGAGCTATGAATTCAGTAACAATGGTTTTAATAAATACATGAATAAAGTCTATAGAATAAAATATTAATATTATACCCAACCACTAAGAATCCGCTTTAAAAACTAAGACCTCTGGGATCAGCATGCACCATGCCCCTATCCACAGTTTTTCAAAGTGATAACTGAATTTCATTTTGCTAATGATGAAGTATCATTTATCAGTCATTTATTTATACCATATTTATCTGAACACAGGTAGATATTTAGTATAGTAAAAATGGTATTTGGAATATCTAATCTAATTCATACCATTAGATCCTGCAGCTCTTGCTTGATTTTGGAAGGTTTTAGACCGAGTCCCATATTGCCCTGAAAAATGGCTAGCTTGAGGTGATACTTCATTCCATGCACCACTCTGAGAAGGATGGAGGCTCGCCTGGGAGTCTGCTAGGGCGGTCAGGCGTTGGGCCCATGCTGTATCTAAATCCTGGGGTTCTTCCTTCAGTTTTTCTCCTTCTTTGCCAACTCGCTGATAGATTCTTCCAGTGCTGTCATTCAGTAATCTTCTCATCCCTGTAATTTGTTTTTTAATTTCCCGGCTTTCATCTCCTAATGAAAACAGAGCTACAGTTATCACTGTAAATTAGCAAAAATGGTAATTGATAGAGATTAGTGATTTTAAAGACTGTCTAGGTGCTGGACTACAAAACAACAAATAAATAAAAATAAAACACACAATCAAGTGGTAGTTGCCATGTATTGTGCCACGCTTTAATACAGCACTGGCTGGGATATCTATGGTTAAAAAACTCCTCTGATTTTGGCTTTCCTAATACTGTTTTTAAAGCTCTTATGTATACTAATTTTGTTGTTTTTTGTTTGGTTTGCTGAAGGAAACAACAATGGGTACAACTGTTTCAAATACACTATCCTTTTATGAATCTACTACTATTCAGACATTGACATCAATGGGAGTTTCATCTGAGTAAAGGATGTAGGATCAAACTGTAAAGAAAGGAGCCAGTTACCTAGGAGGGACAGTTCCATTCCCCACTGAAATCAACAAAATAGCTCCCATTAACTTTAAGTCCTTTGGTCCACAGAATTTCATAATAATGAGACAGTAATTTTAAAACAGTTAATATCTGAATAACCTGATATAGGCAAATTTCAGGTCATATGAGGAAAAAAAGAAAATTAGTACAGGAAAAATGTAAGTTTCAAATAAATTCAGCACATTTAAATAATAATTACATACTTTAATGCTCTCAGCAACATTTAAGTATTAATTTTATGTATGAAACTACCGATTGCACAATGAATATATATGTTTTGTGCAGATAGTAGCTATAAAAGTAGGCATTACATTTCATTAGTAAGAAGGAAATATTCATAACTACTTCTGAAATAAGAAGCGTCTATTTTTTACTGGTAAAAGAAAAAAAAAATCAAGCATCGTATGCAAGAGAAATGAAGAAGATCAAGAAACTGATCTAATCAATCCTCCTCTCAGAATACATTTAAGACAATGCCACTTGGAATTATATGTTCATCTATACGAAAAAGATTTAGGAAAGAAATATAAAATGGCTCCAATTCAGCAAAGTACTTAAGCACATGCGTAACTTCAGAAACATAATATCCAGTCATATCAAATTGAATGAAACTATTCATGAAAATTAGGCTGTTGTGATGCCTAAAGTGACTTGACAACAGTTAGGCAGTAGGGAACACAGCAGTTCATGTTGACCAACATGGTCTCATTGTTCCCTTGTACTCTGTTCCCTCAAATCAGTATGTCTGTATCCTTATAATTAGATTGTAAGGTCTGTGGGGCAAAGACTGTCTTTTTGTTGTGCCTGTACAATGCCTAGTGCAATAGGATCCTGGTCCATGACTGGGGCTCCTCAGTGATACAATACAAACAATAATAATAATTGCAATGAGCTTTGGTTCTTTGCTGAATTGGAGCCTATTTTATAACTAATACACAATATGGGTCTGTAATTGTGCATCCTGCAATCCCAGCGTGTCCATGGGGCCTGCTATGTTGAAAGAGAGCTTTGGACTTGAGTGGCGAAATAAACATGGGAGGACAGCTGCAAAATCTGTCTCTACCGAATCAGTGCATCTCCCATCTGACTGGCTTCAACATTGCCAAGGCTGGTTCTGCCCTATTGTAGAACAGTGAGGAAAAGTGGAAAAATCTGACCCTATTTTAATATATCACAAACATTTTTTCAAAGAAATGCTCATAACCAAGGTGTATTACAAAACATACTTTTTATTATTTCTTGTTCAACTGCATCCCTTTTATGCCAAAGCATAACTAATTTGTAATTTTCATGTGTCCTAACTACCAGCTAACTTAATAAAGCTCAGATACCACTTTTTTTGAGGAATGGTTGAGCTCTCTTTAAAAATCATGTTAAATTGTTTCTTTAATAGTGAGAATTTGTGTACAGAATTCACAATACTGCTTTGAGAATCATCAAAATACTTGAAATTAAAACAAGTGCAAATTGAATTCTCCCACTAACAAACACATGTGTAATTCTACGTGCAAAATATTTAACTGTATTAAGTAACAACAGTGTATTTATAGCAACTTGAATTAATGAAACAGCACTGAAAATGTTGTAATTTAATTCTAAACCTCTACTTCACCGCTATGGTTTTACTATTTTTCTTTATTGTTATACTTTGTATGTAGCATATTGTGATTGCATTTAGACTTGTGTACTTTTCATGTACATTAATGTTACAGACTGTCTTTATCATAATGGCATATAGAACAATGCAACTTTGCTACCAAGGATTGTGAGAAAACATATATGATTATATTACAGTAGCTGAGAAATGATATGTGATCATGAAATTAAAATCTCTATGGAAATATATATACAGACAAAAGAGAGAAGTGTTAGTGTTACACATTCATCCTTTGCTTTGGCATTTCCTTACTCAGTGCACAGATAAAACAAACAACATTAATGTTCTCTTAGCACAAATTTAACGTCCCAGTTTTTATTTTATATAAAAAGGTGGGAAATATTTACCAAATTTAGTCAGTTTTTCCTTTTACTTGATATAGTTTCAAGATTTTGCTGAATTACAAATAAGTGCAACAAAACATTCAAGTTCTTCCATTCAAATCATCACCAGAATGCTGCCTTTCTGTACAAAGGCCAGGAAAATTCAGATGCCATATTTGAAGAATTTACATGGACTAATTCAAAGCGCTTCAGGGGACCAGAGAGTTTAAAGCACACAACTACACACATGGGCATGGGCAGTGCATTCTTTCTTATGTACATTGCTAATGAGCCAGCCAAAACTCACATATTCACGCTATTTGATTTATAAATGTGTGGTCAAAAGAAAGTAAATTTCTCCTAGCATAAACACATGCAATCATCCTCTGCTAGGACTATTTCCATATCCAAACACAACTTTCAACTTCAAATGTTTCTGCAGTAATCCTCTTCACATGTCACCAAATTGTGGCTTTGAAGTGCATGTAATTATGAAGGCCATTCAGTAGAAAAAGGTGGAAACAGGACTGCCAAACTCATGCCCTCTCCTGCTCTGTGCACATTTCCCTAGATCAGCATTTCCCAAACTATGGGAAAAAAATACCAGGCCTCAGCGTGGCTGCCAGGAGAGGAGCGGGGCGGGCTGGGAGGAGGTGTATGTGTGTGGGGGGGGAAAACGGCCGCTGGAAAGCAGGGTTGGGGGCAACGGGGCTGTCCGGCGGAGATCGGGGGGAGAGGGGAAGGCCGGGTGGGTGGCCGGTGGAAGCAGGGCTGACCGGGGGAGATAGAGAGGAGGACAGGAGATCCAGCCTCTGGAAGCAGGGCTGGACGGGGGCAGTGGGGCCGGGCCG